AAGAAAAACAGTTCGAGGAGCAGAAATCGGTAAATGGTGAAACTCTTGCCGAATGGTCCAATAAAGGGAACTGTGGTTGTGTTACAAGATATCTGAAATCATCATTGACATACAAATTATGCGTTTTTATCGATCAATCTCAATACGTAAAAAAGCTTCAAACGTCATTAAATAGTGACTCGTACCCGAGGTTTCTTGAAGATATGCGTTTTGGACTTCTGTTTCGTTGAAAGCCTTGTAAAACATCTTGAAATTGCTGAAGTCTCCGTCAATCAGTTCTAGTGGCCACCCACTTGGATCGTTGTTTCTCGAAAACATGACGACATCGTCATAATTCGAAGCAGAACTGCCCCCGATGTCGACTGTGTCGGTGGACTCAACGAAAACACCGTCCTTGTAATAGTTTGTTCCAACCCCCGGCTCGTAGGTGAAGGAGTGGTGCGTCCAATGATCGTCGGGGAAGTAGCTCATTACGTTCAGTCTGAAAGCCTGTGAAGTAACGAAACCCCTAACATCAAAAACGAGATAGTCTCCTAAGTATAGTGCCAACCCCCTCGCCTTTGAAGCATGACCACCGGTCGACATTATGATAGTTGTAGGAGTGAATGCTGGCGTTCTATTCCTCATCCAGAATGTCATAGTAAAGCCCGACGTGCAGCAAACAGGCTCGGAGATGCATCTGTCGTTACCTGATCCGTAGTTAATCCAACCTGCCTTCTGGTTCCTGACGGCACACAGGTGATCCGACGAGTCGAAGCTGTCGGTGACATCAAGGGTGCCACCTATGATGCCCGTCATGCCACCGGCAGTGGGGTAGATGGACGACACAGTACCTACACAGGTCACGGGTTCATCAGCGTCCACCGACGTCTTGGTGCTCATGTCCCAGTGGAAATGGGGCTCGGGCAGGGCATCTAGAAAACAAAAATCACAGATACAACATGGCAACTAACTCGTCAATCCGTCAAAGGCTGAGCCCGAAAGTCTTTGCTGGGGCTGGTCGTACTGTACCTGCTGTACAGAAGAGTCCGCTAGCGCTCGTCGGTGACTTCCATAATATACCTGCATTATTGCAAGGCGAAGCTAAAACATTCCGAAACAACCTGAAGGCCGGTTCATACTACTGGCTGGTGCTTTTACACGAGAGACACCTTACACCAGTACACTGGTATGAATTAGTAAGGCACAAAGAAACACAAAGTCCATTCCAGAAAGGGTAGTCACTGGCAAAGCTTGCCCCGAATCATGGAGTATGGCAACAGCCTCTTTACACGATTCTACAGTACATGTAATGCTATTGAAATTAAACTAGCAAAAGGCTTGTTGAACTGTGTTTAATTTTAACAAATTTGGCCGAGGAAATATTTCATATGATGTTGCACATTCGGCTTTGTGTTTGTTTTTGCGCCAACTATGAACCGGCCTTTAAATGTGGACGCCAGTAAACGGTTTGTTCAATTTTTGAACAGACGAAAGAGACATGTCCTTTCCTTTTCATGGCATGGTGAATAAAATCTGGAGTATTTATCTTGATGTTGTTTTCACCTTCAAGATGCTTCCTGTTAGTTTTAAAGAGGACAGTAAAGGGAAAAAGGATAACGAGTGTGTGATTTTCACCTCCAGGGGTCGGGCACTGGAATCTTATCTCGTAATCCAGACATCTTCGCGAGTCGGCTTGGTCGGCGTCTCGGCACAGCAACCCTCCGGTAGGAGAACAGCCGGTGACCAGCGTCTGCCCTGCAGTCACGTGGTCGGCGTGTAGGAATCGAACCCGGCAGTTGGCGTGAGTAGGAGTGGGGCACACGGCGGGATGCACCTGCACAGAGTTACGATATTTGCATTTGTGAGAGAGATGTAAACCGTAGGAACAGTCAAAACCGCATCAAGTGCGATGCGGTCACCATGATAATGTGTTGAGGGGGAAAGCTCATGT